AATTCTTTGTGATCGATGCTTAACAAAAGTTCTTGTAACCTAATTTGTGGTCTATCATATATATGTTTTACTATACTATTGGGTTCATCATTAGATTCGTTAACTTATTCAATAGAAATCAAAGTTCCTTGATATAATAATGCTTATTTCATTTGGTCTCTCTGAAGTGATAATGGGATGGGTGCTAAAAAATCTTTTAAAACAGAATTGATGTCTTTGAAAATAGTATTATAAGTTGATGGAAGACCAGTTGATAGGTTTGATCTATAATAATCTCTGATTTGACTATATTACGCATCTTTATCTAACTTATTTTCTATTACTTCTACTAATTCCTTTAATAGAGTTTCTCGATCCATATGTTTTTTAAAAACTCCATTTAGAGATTCAACACGTTAAGTTGACTCTACTCCTGCTGTAAAAATCTTCACAATAGAATATCTCGCTCATAATTCACGACAAGTGTAAAGTTTTTTTTCAAGGTAAGACTGACATTACTCATATTTTGTAAGCATTTTATTGTATCTTGCTTCAAACTGACGCTGATTATAACTATTTTGTATATGGTAAAAATCTTCAATAAAATTCTTGACCATTTCATCATGCAATTTGGATTTGGCTTTCTTTTTCACATTCTTGATAATATGGTAAATGCATAAGGGCAATGACATATATTACGTAATATTTTAGGGGGTGGGGTAGCTAAGATGTCTTATAGATGTCTTATATTACACTTAAAAATATATATCACGTGATTGATGTGGCTTAGTTTTTTAGAATCAAAATTTATTTAATGACCGAAATTTAAATGACCAATGACAATCAAAAATTTCTATTGAACAGCTAACAAAATCCAATCAATTTACTCTCCATCTGAATTATATTCTCTTAAGTTAATTTCTTTAACAGATCGTTGTAAGAGTAGAAGGGAAAAATCATCAAGCTAGTTCTTAGATTGTACCTTGGGTCGTCCTCGAGTAGTAGGGTGTGCCATTCTTTTATGACTCATTAAAAAAGTGAGAGTAGGGAAATATTTTTCACAGATGAGACAACGAAGACGTGAGTATATTTTTTTAAGAGAAAGACAATGTTCATCATAACCTGGAATTTTTAAAATATCGTAATATTGGAGTATATGGATTGGGTTTGTAAAATATCCATCTTTACCCTTGGTAACAGGTGGTAAGAAACCATTGTGGATTTCGAGAAAGTCTATTGCTTCTTTAGCTCTAGGTAGACCACAACAATTCGTATTTTTACATCTTTTATATCAATGGAATATATACACAGATTGTAATGATTCTCAATTCAAGACCATAGAATGAAACACTTAGGTATGTCATCCTTTTTTTTGTATTTTTTTGTTTCTGTTTTTCTTGCTTTTTTAATTCATCAACTTTTCTTTTTCCATACCCTCGAAATATATATTTTCAAACGGATTTGTGAATGTATCAATATATTGAGCATTCACATATTTCCTAAAAATCGAGTCATGACTCCAAATATTACAAAGGGCTTCTCCAGCATACTGAAAATTTTAAGTAGCTAATTCTGGATTTGTAATTTTACCTTGCGAGTTCAAATGAACGCCAAAATGATCAATTGGTAATATTATACCGGCAAGTTTGCAGGACAACGTTGTCATGCCTCTTTTAACAGGATTGTATTTTAATTGTCCCAGAGCATGTGTTCGTATACTTAAGTAATCAAAATCAAGCTTTTTAAAGAACTGACAATATGATTTTATGTTCTTTAAATATCTGGGATTTTCATCCAGTCTTCCATTCACTAACAATATTCAAATAGGCTGAATTTGCCTATTTGCTTTCAATATATCATCATATTTGAAATTTATGGTGAGATTTATAAGGTCTTGCATATGTGTAAGTGAAGATATACTAATAGGCCATTGAGGACGAATATTAATCGCAAGCTGTCTTGTTCGAAAATTATCTTTTAATTCACTTGGTGTTATCATTAGATATACTGAAGGAATTAATTTTTGTCCATATCCAGTAGGAAAATCATGATCAGCTACATTCACAAGCTCATTAACTAACTGTAAGGTGTGAAACGTTCGACTTACTACAGGCACACTAAGACCCACTTTTGCTTTATCATCTTGGAATATAATAATGGATGCATCAGCAAATACAGAAGTAAATTGTCTTGCATATTTGACAGATGCAAAACAATAGTGCCCATCAATATATTCTTGTGTATCTGTACGCGAAACTCCAACTACTGCAATTCATTCTGGATGGTGGTGTGCTTTTGCAGCAATGGAATTTGATTAGCGAGGTAAGAGATAATTATTAAGTATTGTTTGTGTCATATAAATGTTATATTTCTCCTCGAGATTCTTATGTAAGTTTTCAATAATTCGTACTTTAATCACTTCTTTTTGTCTTTTTGCATCGGCTGATCTGAACTCAACTGAGTCATGAATTTGATTATGTAAGTTTGGATATTTAAAAAGTAGTGGTAGGCGGCCAGATTTATCATATTGAATCACCTCTTAATTTTCAGTAAGTAATTTACACTTTTTTTCTTCACAATTTTGAGTATATATTGCATTTCTTTTTAATTTGCTAATTTTATTCTTACTAGAATTAATTTCAGTTTGAATTTCTTCTATTTTCATATATAGATCATTTCGAATTTGATTATCAGTTGTGATATTATACATTTGTTTTAATTCAGCAAGCTTTTTTCAGCTAACTTAATTTCGTCTGCTACTCTCCTTTGAGCTGATGCATTAATAGGAATTTCTGGTATAAGTTCAACTAGATCGATAATAGAAAGAGAGAGAGTTAGTTCTATTGTAGGTATAGGAGGCATAGGACGAGTTATCTTCACTATAGGTATATTATATGGGCTAATTGGAGTAGTCATGTAGTTTTTAATTATATTGTCAATTTCTGAAGTACTTTTATTTTTAATGTTCTTCCATTCTTTTGCTGCATCTTGATAAATAATAATGCGATTTGGAGTATTATTTTCCATTTTGACCATAATACTATATATATATGCATTAGTAAATTCCTGATATTTATTAATTGGAGATTTATAAATCAGTTTTTTATTAAATTTTAGACCAAGAAAGTAAGTTTGACAACTCATTGTTTAATATTTGAAAAAAAAATGAATGCATTTTTAAAATTTTTTAATTTCTCACTTTATTAAAAATTCATACATTTTAAAAGGCCTCGAGCTAAATATATTAAAATAAATATATTAAAAGTATAATTATAATATCACAGCTAATATATATTAAAAGAGCAAGCCCACTTGCAGCCTCCGCAACTAATTTATATTAAAAAAAAGAAACACTATCCACAGCTCCTGCAGTTAATATATACTAAAAAAGGAATGCATAAAAAAGACATGTAATATAGGCGTATAATAATAAGCCACTCTTTTCAATGCCTTTTTGTTAAAAATTTATATAATATGAGTCATGTGACCTGCTATATATATCTTACCTAGGGGGATTAGCATCTATATTAGATTGATATTACGTAATAAATGTCATTGCCCTAACAAATGGCAAGTTTCTGGATAAACAACTTGAATAGCTGCTATCATTCCTGGATCACTATTGGTAAATAATATGATTGGTAAAAGGTTATCAGTTGCTTCTAATATATATCGTAAAATCCAACTATAATCCACCTGTGTTTTATACTTTATTAAGGCTTGAGCGAGAACTCTTGTCTTATAATTATTATCAATACCAACAAATAAGTTAAGCGCTATTTCATAATGATTTATCTTTGCTGTGTTATTATGTATGATAACATCACGAAATTTAGGCCAAATTTCATTACGCTGTTGGCTGGTTATCCAGAAAAGTTCAGTAAGTTCATTGGATAATCCTTCTAAACGCGATATAATAATATAATCAGGATCTTGATCGCGCAGCTTCATAAGATATGAGAACATCATAGTTGCATCAGATTCATCATGAACCTGAACACCCTAAAACTTTTAAATAGCATTATATAGGTTCTTTTTTTAATAAGCTATTCAGGAAACTCTTTGATAATCAAGTTATATTGTTGCTCAGCATCCAAACGACCATTAGTGGTATAATGTTCAATCTTATCCAAAATTGTTTTAGGAAGGCATGAATTTTAGGAGTTTAATCTATTGTTATTGGATTACATTGATGATTATGGTTATTATCAAACTTGATGAGACGTATAATATTAGTGTTTTTACTAAAATAAAAGCTCACTTGCCATGGACAGTTTGTTTTAGTCGAAACACTATCACAATGTAAATTAATATTCTCTACCTTTCTTAGATTATTAGTTCTAGCTTTTCAACAGCTATATACACAACGGCGAATAATAGTTTTATCTATGGCATCAAGATTCTTATGATATTTTATAGTAACAAATCCTTTTTGCTTTATATACATATTAACAGCAATGTCAATCGCGTTTCAATCTTCATAAGTATCATTGACATTTAAGGTCATTTCTGTTGTATTAATACTATCAATCTCATTTGTATTATTTTCTTCATTATTAGATAACCTATTGATTTCACTTGTTATATCTAAAAGCACTCTGACTTGCATTTCTTTATTTGTAGGTTAAGATAATAGTTGATTACAATGATTTGATATTAAAAAGATTTTTAATATTGAAATGAAGTTAGAAATATTTTGAGAAATAAGGAAAATTTGAGAAACAAGGAAAGTATTCGTTCAATAAATCCTTCAAGTTGGTTTAAACTGCAATATAGTCTAATATCAATTTCTTTAACAAAAAGAAACAATTATGATGGATAGAAGAAAAAGATAAAAAATTGAATGTTTGACTTGTTTTGGCATATAAATGATTAAATCAGTAATAGCGAAGAGTCACAATGCAAAACATTACGTCAATCAAGAAATCAAGAAATATTATATCACATGATGCAACGTAAAAATAGTTAAAATAATTATATCATGTAACGCGACATGAATTGGTCAAAATAAGATATATCACATGATGTGATGCAAATACAAATAAACAAATAAATAAAATATAATCACGTAATACCAGTGATGATCACTACTAGTGATACGAAGTAATTTTCTTTTTATTTGAATATTATTATTTTTAATAACATTATTTTCTAATATTTTTACTTCTTCTATCATAATAAATATATTAAGCAGCATTTTCAATTTCTTAATATATTTCTAATATGTTAAAAGCTATTACAGGTGATGTAGATAATGTAGATAATATAGGTGATGTAGATATAGATAAATTAGGTAAATTAGATGATAGTAAAAGTAATAAATATTTAATTTGTTTAATTATTAGATTCATAATACTATATGTAATATATTTTTTCTACTAAGATAACCAGTTGCTTCTTCAAATGGACTAAAGTGTTATAACTAATTCTTATAAAAGTTTCTATTCATCAAAATCTAACATGATTTTTTTAAGTTGCTTTTCATTTTTTTTTGCATCAGTATTTTTATTATTTACTAATTCTACAATTAGCATTTGAATATAATTTTTGATTTTGATTAACCTATTCTAAGCATAATAACTTGAATTCCATCTGATTGAAATATCTGCAATCACTTGAAAGAAATATTCATTAATTTTACTAGCATTCTAAATATTATAAAAATTAGAGTAAATTTATTTAATGCCTCCCTTATAGTGATATCGCATTCTATTTAATCATGTAATATAATATTTGTATTAATACGTATTTTTATAAAAAATATTATTATTTTTTTTTAATAATGTGATACTGCCAGTAACTTTATTAAATTTATACAAAAGAAATACAAAGTAAATCAAATAAATCTAGACTCAGTATTAGCTATCACCCGTAGTTATATTACAAACCAATTTGAATCGACCGATCATCGTCTTCCCTTTCCAACAAATCTACTAAATTTATATCTAATAAAAATTGCTATCAACAAGAGAAAAAAAAAGAAAGAGTCAGTGCCTATCTAAAAATCCGTAAAAATGTAGCCAAATTTATTCGCCAGGTGTAACCAATTTTCCCAATTGTATATAGGAGTTGATATCTCTTCATGTCTCAAGAATGAACTGGCACCTCGTTTAGTCTTTAAAAAATATTATTGAATACGTCACGTGATTTTAACATGTTTCGTGTTTCGTATTCTTGCATTTTAAAGTTAAAATTTTATTAGTGTAATAATTCTTTGTCATAGAATGGAATACTTGTATGATGATATAGTGTAAATATTAAAGTGGACTAACGAATTTGCTTCTCTTTAGTCATTCTTTTACTAGCCTAAGCCATTTTTTTACTATGGATATTCTTTTGCTTTTTGTTCTCAATTTCATTTTTAATGATCTTTTAAAATGATGTATAATTGATAGTTTTAACTTTATGAAAGTTATGAATGAAGAAGCTGATAAAGGTTAGTTTATTTATTTTCGTTATAATACTTATAAATTCTTTACTAACTCAATTGTATTCTATAACTTTTGAAGTTTTGCCTGAGGACTTTATTTTGTTTCAGAAATGGAAATTTCTAAAGAAATTATACATTCTCTGATACCTGTTACTGGTTCAGAATTTGAAGTTTTTAAATGTTAACTTAACCTCTACAATATTACTTCCAATAATTTCAATTTCAATGTAAGTTTTTCTAATAGTTCTACCACTTATTCTTCTAACAATTCTGTCACTTATTCCTCTAACAGTTCTGTCACTTATTTCTCTAACGGTTCTGTCACTTATTCTTTTAATGGTTCTATCACCTACTTTTCTAACGATTTTAATAAAAGATAATTCTATATCTTCATCTGCTATTTCTTTACTACTTTCTAATTTTTCAGCTCAAGCTGAAGCTAAAATGTTTATTAATACTAATTTTTCAGCTCAGGATGAGTCTATCAACACTGATTCTTCAATTCAAGCTGAGATTTTTATCAACACTGATTTTTATATATTACCTCAAATTAGAATTATCTATTAAGGATCATTTTGCTTCTTGAATAATCACTGAAGATCATATAAAGAATTTGGAAAGCAAAAGGGATTTGTAATTAATCGGTATTGAGTTAAATACTATAAAAATCAATCATCTAACTTAACTAAACGAAGTGTAAAAAAAAGAACTTACATATACGAGTATTTTAGAAAGTGTAAACCTTGTGAGATAAAAATAATTGAGTATTAACATAATAAAAGATCAAAAAAACTGACTGTAAATAGCATGTTAATTTAAGCAAACACAAAAATGACGATTTAGTGTATTTAACCTTTATACATTCTAATTATAATCACGAATTACTTGCTGATAATGCAAGATTTACTATGAAATTTTGAAGGTTTAATAATCCTATAATAGAAGAAATTAAGCGTGTAGTTGTATATAGTTATTGTGATACATATGCTATACAAAATTTATTGCAATCATTATTTCCTGATCAACTTTTTCTTATTCAAGATCTATCAAATGCTATTCAAAAAATCAAACGTAATAATCAAATTATTAGATTAGATACTTTTCATTTGTTAAAATTTCTTCTTAAGCAGCAAAAAAAAGACCCTACAATATTTATATAACCATTAATCAATGCAGATAGTGATAGACTTTATGATGTATTTTAGATAATATCAAATCAAATTTTATTATGATCTCACTATTTTGATGTTATTTTATATGATAATACTTCAAGAACAAACAAATATAATTATCCTTTATCATTATTTATACTTGTTGACAATGATAGTAAATTACGTTTGAAGGCACAAGCTTTTTAAATAATGAAACTCAAGAAAATTACAAATGGATTTTGCAGCAGACATTAGACGTGACGGGTTTAGAATCTCAGGTTATAATGACTGATATAGATTCTACAATGAATATCGCATATCAAAAAATATATAAAAATACATACCATATTCATTGCATTTAGCATATATCTCAAAATCTGCCTAAATGTCTTAAATATAAGCTTAGAACTGCAGATTTCAAAACATTTATTAAAGAATTTTGAATAATATGTAATTTATTATGTTCAAAGTTTTTGAGCAACAATTTCAAGCTTTGTTAGAAACTTTTCCTAATAGTAATAATCATTTATGTAATACAATTTATCCAATTTAACTTAGCATTTACAAGTTGAATTTTTACAGCCGGCATGCAATTAACACAGCATGTTGAATCTATTAATGCAATTGTTTATAAGGCTATTTCTTTTAGTTCAACTATGGCTGATGTAGTTGAAGTTTTAGACTCTTGAATGCAAAAAGAGGCAATGAACAAAAGTTTTATTACATAGAAGTACAGATCAATGATATATTACTAACCATTTATTGTGGATAATTTTTTTAGTAATATTAATGGTCTAATTAAAAAGCATTTTTCCCACATATTGTTAAAGAAATTTATAAACAAATGTGTGAGTTCATACTTTATAGATATGAAAAGGTTTTTTTAAAAAAACACATACAAGTTTAATGATGATCAATTAATAAGTTGATTCTTTAATACTTAACTTCTAATTTAATCATCTATTTTTTTCGTTAATAATAGTAATTGTAGATAGAGATTATAGTTTCAAATTTTAGAATTGGATAATATTAGTTAAAGTCAAAATATCAGAATTAGTTTATATTATAAATAGTTAGTTTAGAATCAGGGATATTATAATTGGGATTAGGGTTAGAATCTAAAAATTATATCAGATTGAAGATTGTTATATTAATTGTCACCTGATTTTGTTATATTTTAGGATCAAGAGGAGAATCTTGAGGTTCAAATAATGAGAAACAATCAGAAAAAGGAAATTAATAATATTAAAGATCATTATAAATATTAGCAAACATATTTAAAAGCATTGTTGAATTCAGTTTTGGGAAAATCAATTAAGGAAATCTGAAAATTGTTTCTTATATGATTTCAAAATCATATCAGCATATCATTATTATTGAAGATGATACCCATTTATGTACATATTTGTTATTAGTTTCATATAGAATCGTTTGCTAGTGTTATTTTAAGTTGATGATCGAAAATTCAAATGTAATATTTCATATATTATTAATATCAACAAGATGGATTCAAGATGATGTGTAGAATCAGTTTAATTTTATTTCTAAGGAACTATTTATTGAAACATTATCCAAAAATTTAAAATAGTCTCAAAACAATGATATAGCTAGAAAACCTAATTTTATTCCTATGTATTACAATAATATTCAAGAAGTTCAAACTCAATATTATATTCAAAAGAAAATTGATTATGGTCGACTTATAGGGTATTTTAAGAAGGTTTTAGATTACTCATTAGAAGATAATGATCAAAAAAATTTAGATGATATCATTTTAGATTATATTTCTGAACAACAAGCAAAACGGCAAGCTAAAATACAATCAGAAATGGAAAATGTTCTTAAAGAACATAGGAACAATAAGATAAAATTATCTGATAGATGTGTTTATAATGTTGATGATGTTAAAGCTCTAATAAAACATAATTGTAAAGGTAGACCTGCTATCAAATAATTAAAAAGGTATAGTGAAGAGAAAAATAAAGCAAGTACTAAGATACAAAATGAAAATGTACAAGATGATGGTAAAAATTTGGCTAGGCGCAAATGTGATTTATGTTATAAAATAGGACATTATGCTCTTAAATGTTCTGATAAAAATAATTAGTTTATTATGTCTTAATAATTGATTATAATAAAGTCACATGACCTCATATAATATCATGTGATCTCATAGAGTGTAGTATCACCGCAAAAGACGTTAAATAAATTTATTCTATATAATATATATATTTTTTATAAACAAAAAATTTTTTATATTAAATTTATTTATTATTTTTAAAAAAAAGTATTATTTTAAAAATGAAATATTAATATATTTTAATTTATATTTTATAAAATTTTAATCAAATGAAAATTATATATTTTACGAATTATAATAATTTATAATTATAAATATTTATTTATTTATGTAAAATTGTAAAATCAGATTTTTTATTCTAAACTCATTGTTTTTTTTAGTAATTATTATAAAATAAAACAGTTAATATATTTTTTTAATTATTAAAATAATCAAATATTTATAATTTATAAATTTTTTTAATATTAATTTATATATATATTAGATTATAAACCTAACTTATGATAAGTTGTTTATAATCTTATACTATTACATTTTAATGAATTTAAGTATCTTTATAATTATAATATTTTATTTATAATTTATTAACTAAAAAACTGATTTTAAAAATAACTTTTTAAATAACTTTTTTTTTTATTTATAATTTTGTAAAAAATTATTTTATTTAAATAATTTATTTTATTATTGTTATTAATATGTGTAAAAATGTATTTTACATACTTTTTATTAATTAATTGAATCAAAAAAAAATAATCCGAGAATATAATATTAAAAATAAGTTTAGGATTTATTTAAATTACTGAATTTATCACTAAATTAATATTCTAATTTCAAAATAATTTGCGATTATTAGAATTTAATATGAATACGATCGGGGTTTGGCTACCTTGACTATAAATCCAGTCACTGAGCCCAATTATGAAAAGAAGAATAACTGCAGATATTTAATGTTAAAAATCATTTATTACTATTTTGGAGAAAAACATGCAAGCTATTATAGCAAATTCTTCAGGAAATTAATCTAAGGATTGCTGCAGTTATTTATAACTTATGCAGAAATTTACGTTAAGAAGATTCATTTGTTATATACATGATATTTACGACTGTACGATTGCTATTTAATCAGACATCAAAATGATTATCATATAAAGAAAAAACGAACTTGGAAGGGCATAAAACGTAATCAAAACTTACCGAATATTACTTTAACAATCAATTAGATGATAGAATACCTTCAATTTGATTAATTAAATCAGCTTTCAAACGGGCCGGCTTTGCTCCAGTAGCCTGAATATATGCTTTTAGTTGATCTACTGTTGCCTATTGAAAGGATATGTAAGGATATTTATAAAAAAATTTACATATGGGGCTTTGTCAATAGAAACACATCATCGAACATAATAAATTACTAAGTTGGTGCGTTTCTATTGAAGAAGCCCATATATTAAAATATAATTTACAAACCATTTTAAGCTGAATATTGGTTGTAATAAGAAAGTCAAAAAATATCTTAATATATGATTGTAAATTTACTTTGACAAAGGATAATATGTAATACCTTGCCCTTCTCCCACAAAGATTTTATATCTACATTGGACGATTCAGATGAATTAGTTCCACGAGTGGCTCCACGAGTTCCACGAGATGTTGATTTTTTAGATTGAATGGTCATTTGGTTGGCAAGCAATTCTACACTTCGTTGATCTGCCTCATGATTGAACGCTTCAATAATTTTTCCGACGCGCTTTATTTCAAAAAAAAAAATTACCTTTTTAATATAAAAATAAAAAAAATATTAATATATATGATAAAGAAAACCTTGTTTATCGTTGCAAATTTTGGTACTGTCGAATCTTCAACTCCTAATGGAATTTCCTTATCAAATGCCATAGATTGTAATACATCATAGAAGCGTATAAATTCTATATAAAAAATATATTAGACAAGTAATTAATTAAAGCAAAACAAATATTGTTATTTTCTTACCAGGATTATTGAATTTGCTAGGATCAAATCCGTCTTTCATATGCAGTTTATCAACAATTGGTTTCAGGAGATCAATCATCTCATCCGGAGCTACTCATAATTATTGTCAATTTAAAGATTTCTAATTCAAATAAAATCATTATTCTAAGAAAAATTATTTCACCAGATGTAATTTCAGCATGAGGTGGTAGCGGTCGGATATCATCAACAAATGGAAGATGTATCATATTGAGCCCAGGGGGGATCAGCTGTCGTTTCTCTTCACCTAATTTTTCAGCCTTAAAAAATTAAATATATCGATCGTAAATAACTAAGATTATTTGAAAAAAAATAAGGTAATCATTTAATTTGAATTACTTGAGCTTTGAGTGCAACAAAAGAAGGAAGAGAGTTATCACGTTTGACAAAGTAGCATATAGCAACTTTATCCATTTCTAGCATTTTTCTATGTAATGCCGCAAATGTTCTTCTGCTACCTTCAAATTGCTAATAATATTAAGAATAATAAAATAATAAATATATTAAAGAAATTTATGAAAGCTTATTCACGCTAAAAACAAAGACTCACTCCTTCATCAGGATATAAGAACAATGGGTGTTCAATATTGTAATGTAACTTAACGACACTTGATGGCTTAAATCCGATAAGAGTAAGACCTAAACGTTTAAGGTACAATAATGAGGTAAACAATTATGGAAATAGACAAATATATCAAATTTACCTTTCTGCCCAAATCTTCTTAATTCGGCAACTTCAGCTTTAGTAAATGCTATCTATATAAAAATTAAATGAAATTTAATAGATAAAAACAGCAGCTTCTCATTTTTAATTAAAATTCTAACCTTTTCGCCTCCATATTCATAACAATACTTTATATCATCAGACATCAGCTCTTGAGTTGTGTCCTAAGAAGTTTATTTTACAATGAGTAAACATCAATTAAATCTTAAATGATATATAGTGAGAAGAAGATATCTACCATGCAAACATATTTTGTTCTAGACTCAGCAAGTCGTGTAGTTTCTGACCTCATGTGTACCATTCTTGCTAACGGTTTCTTTTTCTCAATAACCATGGCATATCTATACATTAGACAATAATATCGAGAATAAAAGATCTTAAAATAAAATTATTAAAAAGAAAAGTTTAAAGCCATACCCTTTAATACCAATTGTAAGTTCAGGAGTTCCTTCATCACCTCCAAACAAACGAAATGGTATCGAGAACAAAGATCTCCTTGGTGACTCTTTAGCCATAATTTGAGAAACAAGACTTTCAAAGTTTTTTTGTGCATTGTAATAAGGAATTTCGTCGATTTCATCACTTTGAATAATTTCCTTATTTAAGTTAAAGATGTATAAAATAATGAGTATATTAGATTTAAAAGAGGATGGTAGAATAGCAGGCATTAAATTGATATTCACCGAATAAAATGCATTGAAATTAAAAGTATGATCCAACTTATTTAAACTGAACAGATTAATTTGGATACCAGATTCGGTCAAATCCTTCAAGTTAAGGAATGAACAATGTTAAAGATGAAATCAATAAATCCGATAATAGAGATTAGAATATACACAAACCCTTGCACGAGTTATCGCAGTGCTACGTAAAACTGGATTTGAAGTATGAGGGTTGTCTTGGTCAGTAATTAAGAATATTCTCTTTGTCTTTAGAGTTTTAGAAGTTCTAAAAAGGTGGTAATAATATTAGTAACCAACCAAGTAATTAACAAAATGAATGAAAATATATTATAATTACTAACTCTTTATTGAATAATTCACTACAAATCCAAAACACGTCTCCAATTGGATATTCTTCATCCGTACTTCCATATTCATTATCAAAATCGACTTCACCTAAGTTAAAATATTAAATGAAAACGCGAATAAATCGAAAATTCAATATAATTGTTTATTTACCTGAACCAATATTATTTAATTCTTTAACTCTCTGAATATCGGGTGAATCAAGATTATGAAGAACATATATATGTTCTTTTTGAAGCGTATTTGATGATTTTTTCTATACAATTAATAGTTGTTTTAGATATAATGTATTATTTATTAAGATGATATTATCATTAAATTTAATGTATACCGTTCCCATAAACATTACACCGATAAGATCGGAAGTATTATCGGATAAAAGTTTAGATGTCATTACTTCTGAAATGCACTGAATTGCTGAACGGAACGGAATCTCTGCAACCTGTACCGCTTCATCGATTCCATCTGAATGATTTTTTTTCATCATTGAAAAAGATGCATCGATTACAAAAATAACAGCATCTCTATTACTAGTCATAAGCTAACATACAGAATCCATTTTAAAAATTTTGGTTATTAAATCAAAAAAATTAATTTAAGTAAATTCCAAACCATTTTTTCCTCTTCTCCGATGTCTTCTTCCGCGTCAAATTCATCCTGATCTTTATCCGAAAAGGAAGCCCAAGAACTTGAAATTGTGTTTGAAGAAGACATTTTTTAATCGTTAATTTTCTAAAGAGAATGGCGCAGCAATTAAGAAAAATCATTATCATTTCATATGAAGTAATTTTACACGTTGAATATTAACTAATCAAAATTTATTATTTTGATTGGTTAAATTTTTTAGACGTATGATATAAAGGAATGCAAAACTTCTAAAATTTTTTTTTTTCAAAATAATTATTTAATAGATTGGACCTAATTTTTTTAATGTAAGTTTTGGTTAATTTACTTACCATTAATAAAAAAATGTCTTTAAGTAATAATGACTGGGAGGGTTCAGGTTTTTTAACATACCATCTTGATAGATTTTCGGAATGCTTCTTGATAGATATCGTTGTGTGGTATATTTCTTGATAGATTTTTGTTACTAAAAATAAATATTACCATGTTCTATTTTAATCACATGAGTTGATACTTTTAGTTATATTTATTTTTTTATATTTTTGCAGAAAAACGCGTCAAAATACAATGTTTCGCTATTATCATATTTAGAAATTTTTTTTATGTAAAATTGTACAATTTTTTACTAATTACTTTGTAATAAAGTAAAACTATTTTAACGCGTTTTATGTAAATGAAAAAAAGACTGAACAAAAATGATAAAAATAGCATATGACCCAAAATTGGTAATATATTTATGGGGCAAATGACTGCTCTCTAATCCAGGGACAAGCAAATTTTATGTAATGTAAATCAATTTTGGTGGTGTTGTGATCTGATTTTTATTGATTTTGTGTGATATTGTGGCATTTTTTATAATATTTTGTGATATTAATTTTATATTATAATTAATGAAAAAATAAATTTCAATTAAAATACATCATATTTAGTTGTTAAGTGATTCTTTTAATAAGTTTTGACAATCATTATTTAGGAAAAGAAAAATTACACTTAATAGTATAACTTGAAATAACCAAATATAATTCAATACTATTTAAGAAAGAATTAGTAATCACATTGCTAATTATTTTAATAATTTCAATCTATAATAAATATCTTATATATATAATAAATTATAATGTTAACTATTATTAAATTTTTAATATATTAGTAATTGTTTAAATTACGTGATTTTAACTGTACTGTACAAAAATTTATGATAAAAATCATATAGTATAGTAAGCACTTAATAAGTATTATATTGTATTATATGAAAATTTATAATAAAGATCATATAGTACAGCTTAAATAACTGTACAGTATAGTTTATCTATAGATCTCGAAGTTCTTAATGAAAATCATTTCAGAAATAAAGTTCTTTATAAAAATCACTCTGAAAGAGAAATCCTTTAAGAAAATCACTCTAAAAGCGAATTCTTTTAAAAAAATCATTTCAGAAGTGAATTTCTTTAGGAAAATACTATCAAATGTATTTTTTTTTAAAGAAAATATCACTGAGTTCATTTTTCTTTAAAGGAAACATTACTGGATTTGTTTTTCTACAAAGGAAATGCCATCAGATTCATTTTTCTTCAAAGAAAATGTCACTGTCATTTTTCTTTAAAAGAAATATTACTAGAGCTAGTATTTTTCAAAGGAAATATTATTAATGTCATTTTTCTTTAAATAAATGTCATTAAAGTAGCATTTTTTCAAAGAAAATTACTTTTAGATTTATTTTCTTCAAAGAAGAAAATGCAAACTAATGAACTGAGTTGCAATACGAACTAAGCTATAGTATAAGCCAGCTTATCTAACTAATAGCTTACTTTATAATGACTTGAACTAAGCCTAAATGAGCTAATTCATTTGACTTGCAAGTGACTCAGCTTATGTGAAGCTTTAAGTATAAAATTAAATATTCTTTAGACTTCATTTAATTTATAAAAATTAAGGTTATTATCAGTATTTAAAAGATTTGTAAAATTTTATAAATCTTTTATATTTTTAAAATTTGCAGAATTCTCAGTATTTTTAGAATTTTATACTAAGAATTTATTATATAGTGTAATATACTTAACTTTATTTTCATTAGATAATTACTTTACTAATAGCATTATCAAGTATTTCTTTAATTAATAAGATTTAATATTTGATCTTGCTATTGTAATAAATATCTTCAATGCTATTTAGAATGAAATACAATCTGTAATTATTCTTAATTATAAATTTTAAAAATAAGTAAATATTTAAGAATTAGTTAAGAAAGTAATCAAGTATTAAAAATATTTCTCATTTGTAAATATATTTATACTCAAATTTCAATACTTCTATCTTAAAACTAATTAGATTATTACTTATTTTAATATAAAATTTAAGAATCTTATTTCTTAGATTGTCTAACAGACAAATTTGCATATAAACTTAAAAAAATGTGTTATTTTTTTTATTAAAATATTAAATATTAATTTTAGTAATATAATAATTATATAAAAAATATAGTTTAATATATATTTATTAAATTTTTTAGAAGAAATTTTAAGTTTATAAGATATTTTTTAAATAATTTAATTTTTAAATTTAAGTTTAAAAAATTTATTATAATAATTTTTTAAAAAATTCTTTAAA